TTACGTCCCAAATTTTAAGTCAGCAAAGTTGTATTTTTTGGAATGCCATCTGCTAGCTTTGATGGTGATTTTTGGAAATGGTCAATCATAACTTCCTTTTATCTTTTGAATTTTCACTTGAGCAAGCAGGCAAGCAGGCGCAGAGCCAGGGAAGGAACATTTTGCTATTATCAGTTTGACATTACGTTTAGAAATGGAAATTCCTTTACAAATAGCCTTTTTATTAGCTGCTTCACTCTCAAACAATTACACTGGCCATTGGAATACATTCGAAAACCTTTCCGTGTGTACAAATCTAGTGGCAAATTATCTCACTTTACTATGATATATTTTGTTAAAGAGTGATATTGACTTAATTCTGCACTGTTTAAAATGAAAACTTCTTTTCTCCTCAAAAGCTTCTAAAAGTGGTGAGGATGCCTGAATGGTTTCCAAGGCAGATTTCAAGGAAGCTTTCAGCTGCGTCTAATGGAATGCTTTATTATTCAGAGCTCAGTGAGGAATTCTTCTGAAGTTAGCTGCTGGAGCTCTGGCTCAAGAAGGAGAAGCTGAGGCGAATGTTGCGGTTGGTGGCAAAAGTTGGCAAGAAGAAATAGCTCTCCGGCTTTGAAAGAGGACAGATACATCCTGCCTTCAGCAGTGGCATAATGTTGTGCTGGATACAGCACAACTGGAAAAGGCAGCCTCCACTTCAGAGAGTAGATGATTTTATGAAAAGGTACACAGACCAATGAAAACTTCACAGAAATAGGGTACTGTCAAGGAGGCAAGAATGCAAGCTAACGCAAGGTTAGGCAAGAGATGGTTCTTTGAAATGTCTAGCAACAGAGGGACTGAGCATTTAAAGATATTAATTAACTTAAAATGTTTTTGTGAATTCAATTGAATATTTATGTGAATATTTAAATACCAATACAAATCTGAATTTAAAGAACCTTTGCAAGTGTCTGAATGTGTAGAAGACCTCAATGATATGCAGAAACCATACCCAGGAATTCCTGGCTTGGTTCATCTAAGCCAGCAAACACATCTTCCTCCTGAATTTAACTGTGTGCTTGTTCCAGTAATACCCAAGGGCTGTGCGTATGTGCCCAGACTATGCAATAAATCCAATTTGCAATTTGAAAACATCGGCATCTTCAAGAGGTTAATTGCTAGTTTCATGTAGAAGCAAGGTAGAATGATAGAAAAATCAGCTCTCAATCAGTTAGAATCTTACATGAATCTATAGTGCTAATTCTAAGGGCAACTTTAAAATATTTTTAAAAAAGATGCATCTGTTTTCAATGCTTCTATTTAGCACTTTCTACTTTAAGTCATGTCTTATCAAAAACACATTACAACATGCTGAGTTCAATAAAAAGCTGCATTGTCATGCAAATATCAAAAAGCAGAAGCAGGTAATGCAGGAACTATACAGGCAAAGGAATACAGCAATCCACATTATTTTTGATAAGATACCACAACTGTATACTTAAGTATGGAATAGCTTCACAAAGGATACAAATTAAGTCATTTAGCTCATAATAATAATAATCCTTGCATTTGATATAGCCCTTTTCACGTCTTCTAGGCGTTTCAAAGCGCTTCACAGAATAGACTGTAAAGTGAATTGACTATATATTTGTGGGCGAAATGCGGCAGCCAATTGCGCACAGCAGTGTCCCACAAACAGTCGTGAGTTGAAAATGACCAATTTATAATTTTTTTTTGAGGGATTATTATCAGGCGAGCGGAATAAGGAAACTTGCCAAAGGTTTCACCCTGCGGGAATCGAACCCGGGGGGGGGGGGGGGGGGGGGGGTGATGGTGCTGGAGCTAAGCAGCCTCCAAGGTGATACCAAATGTCAGAATAGAGTTAGTCTTCTAAGGCACTCTTGGTAGTCCAGTTTGCGAGTCAGGCGGTCTGCAGTACTTCAGGGCATCCCTGATGACAGATCAGCCAGCCTGGTTCACCTATAGGACTCTGAGGGGCAGATTGGGAGCAGGAACTGGTCCACTCAGCTACTAGTAACTCAACAAGCCAAAGCCCTAACAGGTAAGGTGATCCTAGATGGACAAACCTTGGCAGAGAATGCACTCAAACGCTATTACTGGTTAAACTTCAGCATTACCCAAACACATTCTCTATGTGTTTGGGTAATGTTAGGTTCCTAAGCTTCGACTCTGGCCTAACTACAACTAATACTCTCTGGAATTAGGCAAGCAGTGTGCATCACTCTGCGGAAAGAGTGTTCACTCTATGACAATTTCCATAAGTAGGTGTCATATATATGAGGAATTCTGTCTTAAATGAGTTTACACATATGTCAGACACCTGGCTAACCAAAAAAGAAACCTGATATTGAGTACTGTGAGGAAGTAGCACCTAGTCCTAGCTACAAAGATCATTTTATTCCAAAGTTTAAAATTAAGCAGAATTGTGGAACATTCAATCTTAATTTGGAATTAATCTCAATTCGGAAGATGGATCTTTTTAAAATTTAATCAGCAGTTCTGCTTTCAACAAGAGCTGCATTATAGGTCTGAAGGGACCGCTACCTCCAAATGCAGTTGTTACTGCATATCTTGAGTTAGCATTGCCAGAGGCAGAAGATAAGTGGTGACTCCAATTTTTCTCCATAGGCAGTGATCTATCATTGATCTTTTTTCTCCAGTGAAAATAAGCTCCTACAGATCTGGAATCATCCTGACTTCCCTCTAAAGCCTTTCCCAAAAACTTATATATTCTGTTTGAATTTATAGTGACCAAAACTGCACAGTATAATCCAGAAATGACTTTCCATTAGCAGCGTATCACAATCTGCTATGCTATAAATAACAATGCTTTGGAACAAGCATTTCAATTGTATGTGTAGTATCCATTGTGGAGGAGAGCAAGTCATCTGTAATGGACTGCCAGTTACCAATACAACTTCCCATTCGTAACTCTGAGCTGCGAATAGTGAATCTCGTTGAGAACCACCACTATTCCACCCCAACGACAGAAAAAATGAAAATCAAACATTCAATCGAATTTCAAGAGATGCGAGTAAAATAAGAACTTACATTTCCTGTATTTCTGTACTGCGTTTCCTATCTAGTTTGTTATGTATGTAAACACACATTTGTTATATTATCTGTTCTCTTTAAAGGGCAACACATTGGAAAAGCACCATAAAAATGCAACAATAAAAAGGTGTGTTTTATATCTAGAGCACTGCAGATTACAGCCTGTTGATAATATGGTCAGGATAGACTGTTTAAGTTATCATGGCTTCTATGGTTTCTCTTTTCTTTCAGAAGCTGTTTTTCTGTGAATGACCATTGCCCTACTTAATGGAAAAACTGGTCCAGATTTGTTTTTGTTAGAAATAAAGTTTCCATGCTCTAAAACCTACTCAAAATGCTGGATTTTTCATGAACCACAAATCATCATTGACTTGGTAAAATAGTGAACATTACATGGGCTAAAATATAGAACCGAGACACCAACTAAACTATGCGAGGAACCAGAATTAAATACATACACCTTTGAACAGAACTCAAGAAGCAGATTTTTATTAAAAACAAAAAATAGATGATGAGTCAATACCCACTTGTGCAGCTCAAAAGAGTAGGAGAAAAATTCAAGAAAAGAAAATGTAGTCAAGAAAACTGTAGTTAGAAAGACGCCATGCTTGAGAATCTTTATTTTGGTCTGTTAGGAACGATAATTAAAATACATTTTAATTCACAAAATTGAAATCTGGTATTTTCTGCCTTTGTTTTCTGGGTTCAATTTTTTCTGTTAAAAAACAAAGCCAGAAAATAGAAGGGAAAATTTTAACACAAAAATCTGAATGGGTTTCAGATTTCATGAGCATAGTTAGACTTTCTTGGTACTGTCTCCTAATTCTGGATCTTAGATTCTCAAAGTGATTGCATGACTCTGCTGCAAATCACTTGACAGGATCTCTGCTTGGTATCATCTGGTAAAGAAATGATGAACTGGAATGTGTGGATCAAGATTTTGTGTGAGATCTCTCTTAGAACATAAAACCAAGGATGTTTGTTAAACAGTGAACGGATTCCAACTATACATTTACAAAATATACAGTTAATTCACTTAACAGGATATTCTGTGAAGCACTTTCAGGCGTCTCAATTACGTGATAAGGCACTATATTAAAGGCAAGGATTATTATTATTATTTAACTTGGGTTTCCTGAAAATATCCTGAATGGCAATGTTGTACTTCAGAACAGCTTTTTATCAGACAGTCTTTCCCAGCTAGCAGAGTAAAGACAGGTACTACATATGGCTAAATCATACTTCAAGAGGAATGACAGGCACCTGAAATTGGTAGAAAAAGTATATTGGCACTAAGTTCAGTGAACAATTTGTTTTCTTTTTCAAAGAAGCTAAAAACATTTGTGTCCTTTAAAACAGTTGAAATAAGATCAGTAGAAGTACTAAATAATTTAACTCCATCAAGCACGACTTGAGATGCAGTTGGTTATTTGGATAGGAGTTTAATGTGAAGAATCCAAGTCAATGAAAATGAGTGAAAACATAAAAAGAAATATACAAATTATTTACTCATCCTTTCATAACACCATCTTCTTATTATGGCCATTTATCACAATGCTGTATACTGTTAGCAGTTGTGCTAACTGCTTTCCACATTATTAAAATACAAACTGACAGACTACAAGAGATTTTAGAGTTCAAAAACACCAAAATCTCAGAACATCTGGTAATCCCACCATCCATCCATATGTTAGTAATATCGTGCTGCTTTTCCCTGAAGATACATTAGATTATTCAGTGCATTTGGGTTATAATAATTACATACCTGCAGTTTGGGATTTTAATAGCATCACCTGTTAATGCTGCAGTAATTAGTAGGTAAAAAAAGAACACAGTTGGTATTGCAAAACATTAAAAATATGTAAAATGTTTTATTACCCGCAGTAGTGACAGGCAGTTCAATATTGGCATTATAAAGTGCCACTTATACATAACAGGATTAGCTGTACCTGGTGAGATGGAGTTGGTGCTCTGACTTGCTCAGTAGTTCTGTCATCTTTAGACATTCACTTTTTGCCTGTGCTGTGTTTTGCTGGGCATGCTCCAAACGGCGCTTAGTTTCACTTAATTCCAGCCCAAGCTTCTGCGTCTCCTAAATGGGAAGAGCAGAAATAATGCACATTTCAGAACAGTAGAATTCCACTTGATGAACAAGTGATAGGTTAAGTAAGCATCTGTTAAGTAAGGATAAACAGTCACACTGTTATATTAGCACTTAAGAGACATAATAATGATTTTATGATGGGATACCGCATATCTCATTTGTCAAACTATATATTTTGGATCCCATTAATTTTCAGAAACATATAAACATCCTCTCATCAAATGAGAAGTAAAATAACAAATACGAATTGTAAATTATTTGGTCAATTACATGGAGAGGATACACAATCCACAATTAAATACATGGAGGTAGTCAAATCTAATAAAGCTTCATGTAGTTAAATAAACTTTTATTTCTGAACAGATTTCCTATTATGAAGTGAATTCTATTCATTTTTAATTTCCTGTTTTAGATAACAAACATTGGTTGAAAATGAACAGAATACGGTGTGAAAATGCATCCAATTATTCCAATCCACAAAATATTTTTCTCTTCACTCCCACAGTATAGAATTCGTGAGCTAAACATTTCAATTATCCTCATCATGCATAGTCAATTTACTGACAATTTTTACCTAGAGACGAGTGCATTTTAGAGGTGCAATGACTTTAGTGTAACATATACATTTTGTTCAGTATTTTACTGCAGTGCTTGTTACGAATAAATTGTGAAATAAATCATTAAATGGGCTGTGGTACAAAGATTTGCAAATTGGGTATTTTTTTATCTGCAGTTTACAGAAATCCTTACCAAAGTATAATCCTGATCCAAGCATGAATATTTTTGGCAAATTAGTTATGCATTTATCAGGATTCAACTGCATCACATGTTAGTGAAATAAACCTTCAGTCAAACAACCATCAGGAGTAGTTCAGCTCAGCTCACTAAACCCCCTAAAACTACACACTCAGTCATGCTCCAACTCTCCAGATGGACATACATCATCAGCTGAACTTTCTTTTGTTGGATTTACATCTCTTAGTAGTTTAACCTGAAATAAGTACCTCAGGACACATTCAGCACACCCATTGCAGAGTAAACAATTATAAACTCACTCTATGGGGGGTTCGGGGAGAAAAAGAGAAAGTCTCTTTACTTTTACACAGGTGGCGTTGTGACAATAATACAGCAAGTTACATTTTTGTAGCGCCTTTCTCGTTGGGAGGATGTCTCAAACATTTCATACAGTTAATTAGGCAACTGAGCAGGATGTGGGTGGTGTGGGTGGGGAAGATAACCAAAAGCATGGTCAAAAAAAGCCTTTAGGAGGGGTTTACAGGAGTCCTGTAGCTCAGTGGTTAGAGCACTTGTCTTGCAAGCGAGAGACCTGGGTTTCATTCCGGGCAGGGCCAAACTTTGGGCAAGTTTCCTTACTCCACACGCCTGATAATAATCCCTCAAGAAAAAAAACAATAATAAAATTGGTCACTTCAATCCATGACTGTTTGTGGGACACTGCTGTGCACAATTGTCTGCCACATTTCTGCCCACAAATATACAGTCAATTCACTTTACAGTATATTCTATGAAGTGCTTTGAGACGTCTAGAAGATGTGAAAAGCACTATGTCAAATACAAGGATTATTATTATTATTAAAAGTGGGCAGAGAGATGGCGATGTGGTGAGCTCCAGGACTGAGTTCCACAGAGATGGGTTACAATGGCTGAAGGCATGGCCACTAACGGTCAGGTAGTTCATGTGGGGACCATGAAGCACGTCACTATTAGCTGAGCAGAGAGAGACGCTGGACTGGTAGGATTGCCGGAGATCACAGAGGTACAGTGAGGCGAACCTGTGGAGGGATTTCTAATATAGTAAATTCCTGATAAGTCAACCTGCCTTAACTTGTCATTACCACTTAAATCATCATGCTGTCAATATACTGGCAGCATTTATTTGTGTATTTAAACATATGCCTAAATCGCCACTGAGAATAACTTGTTACTGGGTCCTTTACCGTTGCAGTGAAGAGTTATAAAGAGTTTCCTGTAATCCTTACATCAAGAGAACGTATATTGTATTTTGTGGGTGAACATGGCAGCCAATTTGCACACAGCAATGTTCCACATACAGCCATGAAACGNAAAAACAATTTTTATTTGGGGATTGCTGGCCGGCACACTGAGAGAAACTCCACTCTCTTTTCAAATAGTACTATGGGATCTGAGCCAGAAGATTGTGGGTTCAAGCACCACATCAAGATTTTGAACTCATAGACTAGACTGATAATCCAATGCTGTGCTGCACTGCTGGAGGTGCCGTCCTTCAGATGAGACTTTATACAGTTAATCTACTTTACAGTATATCCTGTGAAGTGCTTTGAGGCATTTCAACAACCTGATAAGGTGCTATAGCAAACTGCAAGTATTATTGAACCAAGGTTTTGTCCGCCTGTTCAGGTAAATAGATTTCATAGCACTATTCAAAAAGAGCAACAATCCCCCAAATAAAATTGGTCATTCACTTCATAACTGTTTGTGTGACATTGCTGTGCGCAAATTGGCTGCTGCATTTGCCCACAAGACACTTTACAGTATATCCCTTGAAATGCTTTGAGTGAAAGGTGAAAGGAGTAATACTAAATGCGCTGACTATGATTATTATTATTATTATCTACAAGATGCCTAATGCCAAAGGGAGAATGATAAAAAGATATTAACAGTAGGAATACACTTGTCATGCATGCCAAATTCTCCCTTTATCCAAGCCAAAGCCAATGCAATTTGAATGGAAATTTTATCTTATTTTTTGTAGATGACAAAAGTGATGTATTAATTGAATCTTAATTTCTCTCCATTGGTTACAGATCAAGAACCTAAGGATATTGATCCAGGTCGTCTCCAAGGAATCCTTGCTTACAGCATTCCAAATCCTTTCCTCAGATCATTCTGTGTTGACATATTAAAACTAAGTATAGCTTGGACTCATATTGTGTTGGGATTCCAATGTTCCATGCCATGGAATGATAGGATTTGGGATGCTAATACCCCACGCAAATTTCCGATCTCGGTCATTGTCGGCAAAGCTACCAAATGGAGACATTTGTAACAAGGATGCTTGCCTGCCTAAGCGTTAGTCTGGTAGACATAAAAGAAAGGGGAAAGTATAAAATATATTTCAGAATAGGCATTTTTTAAAAATAAAACATTGCCTGTGGAAAACAATTTGGCTGCAATGTATGGAGGGCAAGGTTAGTGGAGTTCAGCGCACTGTAGTTGTTTACATTATTCATAAATCTCGAGGAAGCTTTTGTTGAGGACGTCCTCCCGACATGAAAGGCGCTCTGTAAATGTAATTTTCTTGTTGTAGTTGTTGAAATACATAAAATAGCATTTCACAGGATATAAGTGGAGTGACTATGTATTTTGGGGGCGATTGTGACAGTCAACGTGCACACAGCAATAGCCCACAAACAGCCATGGAGTCAATATCTAATTTTATTTGCAAGATTATTGGCCAGGAAGTAGGAAAAACTCCTTTCACTTTTCAAATAATGCCATGGGATCTTTAACATCTCGTATGAAGGATGACACATCCAACAATGATCACCCCCGCAACCCCCCACCCCGCACTGCAATGGAATGTCAGCATTGACTGTATGAGTTCCAACATGGGGCTTTAATCCATAACCTTCTGACTCAGAAAGGCCTACTCACTAAGCCAGCTGACACCTTCTCCGAGCTGCTTTCTCATCAGCAGAAATGCAGTGTGTACTTTCAGACGGGGGAAGTGATAAACAACAATTTACAGTAGGCTTTATACAAACGTCGATAATATGCTAGAAAGTCTCAAAGGAAGTATAACCACATCTGCTCTTAATTGCCTAGATGGTACAAGGCTGCTGCTCTAACTGATAGACTGATAAACCAACAATGCGAGCCCTATTCCAAGAATGCACTATTCACACCAAGTAATTTATTAGAAGAACAATATTCTCAGATACATACAGTGGATAAGAGGACTTCAGGGAAGGGTTTGAAGGGCAAATTTAGGACAGATACCAGGTGTTTAACAGGATGAGGGAATACAGTTATGAGGATAGGGTAGAACAAATTATGTTTAACAGAAAAGGTTAAGAGAGGATCTAATAGAGGATAAACATTGAAAGATCATTCAAGATGGTTGATGAATCAATAACAAGAGGGCTTAAGATCAAGATTGTCACTGGAAGAGTTAAGAGATAGGTGAGAAGCTTTTATTTCCTCCAGAAGGTTATTAGAACATAATGTGCTTTGCCAAGTGGCTATTGAAGATAACACTATATCATTTAAAAGGGATTTGATAACGTGAACAAAATTAAAAAAGGACAGAAAAAGGGAGATTGGGATTAGAATATTTAACTCCAGTTGGGAGAAGCCAATACCAGCACAGGCTCAATGGGTCAAATGGCCTACTTCTGTGTTGTAATTTCCGTGATTCTAAATCCTTTCCGAACACATTTATTGCGTAAGCAATGGCTTATCATGCACATGAAGGGTATAAAGCGCCAGCGTGCAAAGCCACTAGCAGAATCAGAAAATGCAGGTATTGCCCCCGAAAGATTAATAAAACATTAACACTTTGAGCACTTGAGTGAAACCACAGCATCTCAGTTTAAACATAAAATATAAATGTTTAATTAACCCACCACACTATATATGAGGGAAAAAATGTTAATTGGCTCTGTGGTTTTCTCCAATTATACTCTCTGACAACAGGAGGCAAACAAAATCATGCTGCTAGAAGCTGAATTAAATTAAAAGAAAAAAAAAGATTTGTACTTTGAAAGCCAAACTAATTATACCACATGCAAAGGACCATGGAACAAACAACATATGATGAAGACATATTGTCTAATACCAGGAGATACACATGATATTATGGTCCTCCAGTAGTGTATGTGTAAATCACTACACCCAAATTAAAAAAATTAGAATTAAACAAAAGTTTGATTATTGCAATTTTAAATTAGATAATTTTGAACTCCATAGAACCCTTCCTACACACA